CCTCTAAGTCTCCATCAGTGGATAAAAGAAGAAAGTGTGGTAGACATCTCTGGTGGAATACAGCTCAACCTTTTCATGAATGAAATACTGTCATTTGTGACAACATACCCAGATGTAGACTAGGACATTACGCTGAGTAAAACAAGCCAGGCAGCTGGACAAGGGCTGCATGGTCTCAGTCATATGGAAGCTAAGACAGTCAAGCACATAAAAGCAGAGCATGAAATGAATGTGGTGGTCAAGGTTGGAGGGAGGTTGAGGAGTTGGGGAGTAACTGGAATGAAGGTACATTTTCAATTATCTGCTCCCTTACAAATCAAAAGCTGGAGATGAGCTGGGCGTGGGTGACTCACATCTTTAATCCTAGCTACTCAGTAGGCTGAGATCTGAGGATTGTGGTTTGAAGCCAGCCAGGGCAGAAAAGTCCTGGTAAGATTCTTATCTCCAATAAACTACTCAAAAAAGCCAGAATTAGCACTGTGGCTCAAGTGGTAGAATGCTAGTCTTGAGCACAAAGAAGCTCAGGGATGGTGCTCTGGCACTGAGTTCCAGCCCCAGGACCAGCAAAAATAAATAAATAAATAAATAAAGCTGGCGATGACCTCCTGTCACGTGGGCCTGAGTTTCACTGTATCTAGGGAATGCTTTGTGTCTTCTGTGAAAATCTGTCTTCCCAGGAAACTTATGATTCCTGCCTTTGTCTTTGCCACTGCTTGCTTGTGACCTCAGACACAGTTTTAAAGCTCTGCGGGCCTATTCTAGCCCAAATTAGGAGCTGATTTTATAACCTGGCACAACCAGTGTTTGCTGGTTAATGGGAACCAAAAATACCTTCACAGAAAAAAGTAGAACAAGCCCTTGCTTCTGCAAATTTCTTTGTATTTGCAAGTTTGGTTTTGCATTTAGGTCAATCTTATATATGGGAAACTTGGAAATAGGTCATTCTTTATTCGTGTGTGTGTGTGTGTGTGTGTGTGTGTGTGTAGGGGGGTATGGGGCTGAACTCTGGGCCTTATGCTCGGTAGGTAGGTACCTTACAAGGTGGGCTATGTTTCCAGCTCTTTTTCACTTGCTTATTTTGGTATATGGTCTCACATTTATGCTTGAGCCAGCCTGAACTGCAGTCCTCCCATAGCTGGGAGGACAAGTACACAACAGTATGCCCATCTTTTTCTTGGTTGAGATAAAGGTGAGATCTTGTGAACTTTTTATCAGAGCTGGCCTTAAACCACAATCCTCCTAATCTATGCCTCACAGGTAGCTAGGATTATAGGCATGACCCACCAATTTGTCATTTTAACTACTGACTCTAATCTGCTCATAAAAAAAATACTGGCATCTGGGCATGAGTTACTCATCGCTATAACCCTAGCTACATAAAGAGGCTGAGATCTAAGGATCAGTGTTTGAAGTCAGCCCCGGCCAGAAAGTCCATGAGACTCTTATCTCCAATTAAGCACCAAAAAATAAGCCAGAAGTGGAGCTATGGCTCAAGTGGTAGAGCACTAGCCTTGAGCATAAAAGTTCAGAGCGGCAGCACCCTGTCCCTGAGTTCAAGCCCCAGAACCAGCAAAACAATAAAAAATAAAAGGAAGCAAACTGAATCTTCAGATCAGTTTAATGCATGTGAAAAATACAAGTATATATCACAAGTGTGATAATTCAAAGAAATTTTTCTGGAGTGAGGGAAACAGTGAATATTTCTGAGAATGAAGTAGGGTTGGTGGGGTATAGTGAGATGTGGTGGGCTTCATTTTTACTCTGAGCTTGTGTTTTTAGGCATTTTTTAAGAAACATAGTTATGGTTTCCTTTTGTCATTATAAAATTCAAAATTACTCCTCAGGACCAATGGAATAGAATTGAAAACCCAGAAATGAACCTACAGACCTATAGCCATCTAATCTTCGATAAAGGAGCTAAAACAATAGAATGGAAGAAAGACAGCCTCTTCAGTAAATGGTGCTGGCAAAATTGGTTAACTACATGTAGAAAACTAAAGCTAGATCCTTATATATCACCCTGCACCAGAATCAACTCCAAATGGATCAAAGACCTTGAAGTCAAAGCAGACACTCTGAAAACATTACAGCATGGAATAGGAGAAACCCTAGGTCTCCTTGGCACAGGCCGAAATTTTTTGAATAGAAACCCGGAAACACAACAAATCAAAGAAAGGTTGGACAAATGGGATTGCATAAAGTTGCAGAGCTTCTGCAGGGCAAATGACATAGCTAGCAAGATCAATAGAAAGCCCACAGATTGGGAGAAGATCTTTACTAGCCATACAACGGACAAGGGTCTCATATCTAAAATATACTTGGAACTCAAAAAATTAAACCCCCCAACAACAAATCCCCAAAGAAACAACTGCCCAATAAATAAGTGGGCGAAAGACTTAAAGAGAAACTTCTCTGAAGAAGAAAGAAGCATGGCCAATAGACACATGAAGAAATGTTCAAATCCCTAGCCATAAAAGAAATGCAAATCAAAACAACATTGAGATATCACCTCACCCCAGAAAGAACGGCAAAAATCAAGAACTCTAATAACAACAGATGCTGGAGGGGATGTGGACAGAAAGGAACCTTACTTCATTGTTGGTGGGAATGTAAACTTGTCCAACCACTTTGGAAAGCAGTATGGAGGTTCCTCAAAAGACTTCACATAGAACTCCCCTATGAGCCAGCAATCCCACTTTTGGGCATTTACCCAAATGCTTACAAACAAGACCACACTAAAGCTACCACCACAACTATGTTTATTGCAGCATTATTTACCATAGCTAAGATATGGAACCAACCCAGATGCCCCTCAGCAGATGAATGGATCATGAAAATGTGGTATATATACACAATGGAATTCTATGCCTCCATCAGAAAGAATGACATTGCCCCATTTGTTAGGAAATGGAAAAACTTGGAAAAAATTATATTAAGTGAAGTAAGCCAGGCCCAAAGAAACATAGGTCCCATGGTTTCCCTTATTTGCAATATCTAGTATATGTACGAGTCAAGCGGAAAAGGTCAGATAATGTGATGTCAGGAAAATGAACCCTTAGATATGTATTTTAATGTTTTTTCTTTCATGCATGTGTTTCTAATGCATTTATAAGATTATCTCTTTGTTGCTTTGTATGTCCCTCCCCCACAGTATAACCCCTGCTTTCACTATATTTGATGTCAGTATAACTTGTGGAGGAGATGGGGAAAAACCAGTTGTTTAAGGATACAGGTGGATCTGATGCAACAATGAGAAGTACAAGTTGTCATGTCCAAAACAAGCTTTAGAACGTCGGTGCGGGGGGGGGGGCGCGGGGAAGGGGGGGGGGGGGGGGGGGAAGGAGAAGGATTGGGATGGGGGGAGGGGGGAGGCTGGGAAGGGTAAACAAAGGAGGAGGCTGCAATGCTTGGTAAGAAATGTACGCATTATCCTGCCCATGCAATTGTAACCCCTCTGTACAGTATGTTCACAAATAAAATAAAATTAAATTAAAAAAATTCAAAATTACTGGGGAGGATGAGAAATTGGAGTACCACGTCAGATTTGAGATCAGGAGAAGGAAAATAAAGCATTTAAGGTAGTGAGATCTGGCAGTTAACACGGACAGCTCCTCCTGTAACTTTTTTTGAATGATGATTTGGAGCTTGCATGATGTTTTCTAAAGACATATACATATATACATATACATTTCCCTCTCTGCATCACTCCAAAAGGTGCAATGTAGACTATAAGGACCCCAAGTCAAGAAAACCCAACGGATTTGAAGAACAAAGTCTCCTATGTAGCATCTTTCAGTGTATTTGAATATATATGGTTGTTATTAACGTAAGCACTGAGTGAGAAAAATCTCCTATCATTAAGGAACATGGACTCACTTCCATTCCTCTGTGAATAATTCTGGCCCAGTCTTAGAACAGTTGTATTGACTACAAAAGTCTTTCCTTGATCTCTTGACTTTATTTCTATTTTGTTGGATAGCCTTATCTGATTTCTTACTGTCATCCTAGGTATGGAAGATGTGAGCTGGCAGAGAACAGGCCAGGCCCTTGCTCTGGGGAGTCTGCATTCAGAGGGGAGTGGAATGGGGTAGAAAGACTAACAGTAAGGAGCTTAAACATAACCAGGAAGTGATCACTCCTGTGACATAAACTAAGCAGAGCGATGTGATAGGGAGCCAGAACAGGAACCTGCATTGAGAGAAGTAGTTAGGAAAGACTTCTCTGAGGAAGTAATTAAAAAGCCAAGGCATGTATGAGAAGAGGGTCATGCTCATTTGGGAGAAGAACATTTCAGGCGGAGGGTGTACTCCTCTGGTAGGAAAAAGCTTGTAGAGAAAGGCTAGGTAGGCACTGGTGGCACATGCCTTATAATCCTAGCTCCTCAGGAGGCTGATACCTGAAGATTATGGTTCATTGTCAGAACCTAGGCAGAGAAGTCTAAGAGGTTCTTATCTCTAATTAACTAGCATAAAGCTCAAGTTGGAAGTATGGCTTAAGTGGTAGATAGAGTGCAGGCTTTGATTTTTAAAAACTCAAGTAAGAGTATTTAAGGCCCTGAGTTCAAGCCTTGGTACTGGCACAAAAACCAAACAAATAGGTTCCCCACCACCACCACCATAACAAAAACTTACAAAGTTCAAGAAGTAGTCGGGACTTAGAGAGGTGAGGTGAAGAAAAATAAGAGAGATCTTCAAAAGGCACGCCAAACCTTAAGGATAAGGTAAGAAGTGTGAATTTTATTCCAGGTGTGATGGCAAACCATTGAGGGATTTTGAACTGGGGAATAACATGCCAATTGAAGTTTATTAACTATTAGTTTATGGATGGGTAAGCATAGAAGCTCCCAACTGGGCAACAGATCAGAAATAGTTCCTGAATTCTAGGCTTCAACCATTGGGAGATGTGTTTCTGATATGAGGAAAACACAATGATTTGGAGTTAAGAAGAAAAAGAAAAGGACTAAACCTGTATTTATCGTGAATGATTCTTGCTCATTGCAGACAAACTCTTCAGACCTCCAGTTGGCCAGGTGGTGAGTTCCAGGACCGGGTCAGGTACTACCACAGCTGCCAGAGAGCTCATCCTATCGGTTTTTGAGTGGGTTCTCACCAGCCCCACGCTCAGAAGGATGGTGTCACAGTGTAAGGACCGACAGGACCCGCCTGTGGACCCCTGGAAAGGGATCAGCTGTGACTCTGGAGACACTGATGGTTGGCCCAGCCTCCTGGACTCTGACCACCCTGCTAGCCAATTGGACATTAGGTTCAGGAGGAACAGAGCTGCCTGGCTGAACGACCCCTGTGTACAGCCACCACTGCTGGACGGGCCCTCTCAGGGACCAACAGCGCAGAACACTGGGAATCACCTTGGAGCAGCTGCAGACCCTCATTTGCACCCTTCACCGGAGTCCCCTGGAGACTTCCCGACAGAAATGCTGTTGTCTGATGGTACTGCGGACTCTGCCCATGGGTCAAGCGAAAAGGGGAGCGACTTTTTGGCTCCCACAGAAGAGGAGGGGGTGCCTCCAGGACCCTCTCAGCAGCTGTCTATGGCCATCAGCCCTAAGAATTTGTCTGCTTCCCCCTTTCCTGAGGTTGGCAGTGCTTATTTCAAGTCTTCTCCCTTGATGATTTCTGTGGACAAAGGTAACGTTAGCTGGTGATTTTCCCTCCTTCCTCTATGTCCACGCACTTTTCTTGGTCTCGTTACCACTTCAATAAGAGGCAAGTGCATGAACTCCTTCATAGTTACCTCCAGCCCAGGCATCTGGCTGGTTATAACAGGTGGATCGAGTAGTCACCTCCTGCTCAGACTGCAGGAAGAGGTCATCTTTTTTGTTCCACATATAGTTGATAGTCAATGCCCTGTGCCATGTTTGGGTTGGTGTCTGCCTTCTGGAATGCACAGCTTATTAGCTTGTCTGCAAGGGAGAGCATCAGCAGCACTGAGTGTAGTGTGGGAGGGAGGAGGTATTTCTGCATAATCAGAGGGACCTTGGGCTCACACCAGTGCTCCTATAGGTGATGTACTCACCACACCTGTTCTATTTATATGACCAGGAAATGGTAAGACTACAGAACAGTTGCCACTATTAAACCAGGAGCTCTCTCATTGCTACAAGATACATATTGTTCACATACCAAAATTCCCCAAACGAGCTGATCCATGCAAAATATAACTTGAGTCAACTGATGAGCTGCTATTATAGAATGCTTGTTTTATTTTTAAACTATTCTTCGTATTGTATACAATCTTTGCTTTATTTATATGGCTGTTAGAACCTACTTCAAATCGTTGGTAAAGTTTTTTTTCCTTCAAAATAATTTTAAAAGCTCTCTACCTGAGAGCTGTGTCTTATTTGTATTTCTCATAACATGAAGTTTACTTGTTCTATTGAAAACATTTGAAAAAAAATCAAAGAGATGTCAATTTTTAACACATTATAGCTTAAGAGTAGTAGATTTTTGAACTATCTTTCAATGGCAATTTTAAGATAAGTAAATTTGAACAAAATGACTCTTATTGTAGGCTTTTTTCCCTCTATGTTTTGCTCAACTGCGTAGATAGTTTTAAAGGTAAAGAGTGACTTTGTTCAGGCTCCTAGCTGTACTCAGGAAGCTAAGATCTGAGGAGCTCACTTTGAAAACAGTGTGGGCAGAAAAGTTGGAGAGACTCCAACTAACCAGCAAAATGCTAGTCTGAAGGTGTGTCTCAAGTGATAGAATGCTCTGAGCAAATAGGCCCTGAGTTCATGCACTGGTACAGGACCACCCTTCTACCCCCACCCCCGCCCCCCCCCAAAAAAAAGAAAAGAAGATGTCAGGCACTGATGGCTCACATCTATAATCTTAGCTTCTCAGGAGGCTGATATCTGAGGATTGAGGTTCAAAGCCAGCCCAGGCAGGAAAGTCTGTGAGACTCTTATCTTCAGTTAACCACCAGGAAACTGGAAGTAGAGTTGTTGCTCAAAGTGGTAAAGCACTAGTCTTGAGCAAAAGAGCTCAAGTACAACGCCCAGGGGTGGAGTTCAAGCCCCACAACAGACCAAAAAAAAAAAAAAAAGAAAGAAAGAGAAAAGAAAAAAGAGAGGCTTTTTAGATTTAGTGGTTTCTAACGGCTTAGTAAGCTGTTAGCGTGTCTTATGAAGACAAGCTTGCCCTTCTAAAAAAAAAAAAAAATCCATCAGCTGGGCGCCTGTGGCTCATGCCTATAATCTAGCTACTTAAGAGCCTTAGATTTGAGGATTGTGGTTCCAAGCCAGCTGTAGCAGTAAATTCCATGGAAGGGGAGCTGGGGCTCAAGTGGTAGAACAGTAAGTAGCCTTGAGCAAAAACAAACAAAAAAACCCAGGCCCTGAATTCAAGCCCTAGGACTGGCACAAAAGCAAAATGAAACAAACACATCATGGTGACCTGTCACTGATGGAAATCATTTGTGAGGCCTGCCCCACGCCATTTGTTCTTATCTCTGTACAGGAAGTCTTCCTCCAGCTTCTACGTATCCTGTCTCTTTGTCTTTCTTCCAGAAAAACGAACCCCAACACAAACAAACTAGGTAGTGCATCTCCTTTTGTCCAAAGACAAGTACCTTTAAAAATCACCCCATATTATGAGGGTCTTACCTTAAAGTTGCTAATGGGATTCATTTTGTGAGAGAAGTCTTGGCTGATCTAGTTCTTTCTTTTTTATTTCATGTGGAACAATGATGGGAAAAACAGGTTTGGGCAGAATAGTGTGGCTGCTATAGATATGGTATGGCCCTACAATATTCTCTCCCTTTGTTGAAAAAGTTCACCAACCCCCAGCTAAGAAGTCCCAAATTGTCTATGCTCCTGACCATCTAAGTGACCCTGTTTGTGTTGGTTTGTCAGCCCTGGAGCATTTAACTACCAGAACACACAGCATTTCATTCCAATGTAGCAAGAAGACTCAATTCTTGTAGTTGTTACAGACATTTTAGCTCCTGAGGCTGCCAAAAGAAGTCACATGACAGGAAAAGTGTTTGTTTAGATGGCTGTCATTGCTGGTAATAGCCTGGAGGTGGGGGCAAGAAAGGTTGAGTCAGCGCAATGTACCTTCTGCAGCTTCTCCTTGGTTTGGACTGGAAGATGATTTTTAGAGAAGCCAGGCTGACTTTTGTTCAGATGATTTGTGTATGTAACAGGAAGTTTGGGGTCAATTGCAATGAGCTGGAGAAGTGATCTTGTAATTCTTTTTTTTTCTTTTTTGACAGTCATGGGGCTTGAACCCTGGGCCTGGGCACTGTCCCTCAGTTCTTCAGCTCAAGGTGGGCGCTCTACCACTTTAGCCACAGTGCCACTTACGCCTTTCTGGCAGTTTATTGGAGATAAGAGTCTCATGGAGTTTCCTGTCTGGGTTGGCTTTGAACCACGATCCTCAGATCTCAGCCTCCTGAGTAGCTAGGATTACAGATGTGAGCTACCAGCACCCAGCTTTTTTTTTTTTCTGTTATGGGGCTTGAACTCAGGGACTGAGTGCTGTCCTGAGCTTTTTTGCTCAAGGCTAATGCTCTAACATTTGAGCCACAGCACTACTTCCAGTTTTTGAGTGGTTAATTGGAGATAAAAGTCTCACCGGGAATTATCTGTCCAGGCTGGCTTTGAACTGTGATCCTCAGATCTTAGCCTCCTGAGTACCTCAGATTATAGACACCTGTACCTGGTGTGATCTTGTAATTCTTATGGTGCTCTTTGTGAATTATTCCTTCTCTACTTCCCCATCTCCCTCTCTCTCTTCTTTCTACCCTCTTCACCATGGGGTTCTCCACTCCAATAGTTCTTCTAGGATAACCTTTAAAATACACCATTGGCTGCCTCTAGAAGGATTATCATTAAATCTTTCTTCTTCTCTCAACTTAGTTTCTTCTAGAATTGGACTAGTTTTTGTTTGATTTTTTTGATGCTAATACTGAGTTTTGAACTCAGGGTCTAGAAACTGCCCTTACCTGTTTTGCTTAAGGCTTACATTCTACCACTTGAGCCATACCTCCACTTCTGGATTTTTTTCTGGCTAATTGGAGTTAAGAGTCTAACAGAATTTTCTGCCCAGGCTGGCTTCAAACTGTGATCCTCAGATCTCAGCTTCCCAAGTACCTAGGATTACAGACATCAACCAATGGTGTCCAGTGGTTCTTTTTTTTAATGTAATATTTAAAAGCTGTACTCTAGGATTGTTTCACTTTCTTAGATAATCCTTGGACTTCCATTTTTAAATAACCACCTTATGACTGACAGGTGCAGGTCAAGTGAACAGAAGAGCCAGTTCTTTGAATTCCTACGTACCAGAGACATTTATACTGCCTTTTGACGTAGACAAGGTAAATGCCATCTTTCTTTTCTCCTTAAATACTGATCAGCACGTAATAGTGCTGTTCTGATTTAACTCTGGAGGCTTTGCCTTGAGGAGACCTAGCAAATAGGTTTCCTCTCACTGTTTGATTGAAGTCCCAAGAAACACAAAGCTGAAAAGGTTCCCATGACAGGTGTTTGCTCAGCTGACAAGTTTTGCATAATTGATGAGTCAGATCAGCTATTGAGTCACTACCAACATAGCATGTTTTAGTATAAGGAATTCAGCTATGTCTCTGGATGATGTGGGTTACAGGTTATAGATGACCTAGAATAAACCAGTTATGTGAACTCTTAGATTTTAGCTCCATTGACTTCACTTCTTTTCTTTCTTTTTGTGTGCCAGTCCTAGGACTTGAAATCAGGACAAAGGCCTTGTTGCTGAGCTTTTTTTGCTCAAGGCTAGAGCTCTACTACTTGAGCCACAGCTTCACTTCTGACTTTTTGGGATTAATATAACAATCTCATGGACTTTCTTGCCCAGGCTGGCTTGATCTTCAGCTCTTAGCTTCCTGAGTAGCTAGCATTATATATGTGAACCATTGGCACTAGGCTTTGCATGGGTATTCTTAACTCCCAAATCTAAAACGAATCTTCAAATCTAATCTAAAATCTAAAAAAAATCTATAAAAAGTTGATTATATGCTGGGCAATGGTGGTTTATACCTAAAATCCTAGCTACGCAAGAGGCTGAGATCTGAAGATCACAGGTTGAAGCCAGCCAGGCAGAAGCATCCATGATAATATTCTTCTCTCCAACGAACCAATAACAAAACAGAAGTGGAGGTGTGGATCAAGTGGTAGAGTGCCAGCCTGGAGCAAAAAGACAAGCGAAAGTGTGAGGCCTTGAATTTTGAGCCCCAGAGCTGACCATAAAGTATGTAAAGGAAAGAAAGAGAGCTGATTATGCTTGTGTTTTAACTGACTTTGTTTTCCGCAGGAGAATGCCCACTTTCACGTAACAGATATGATCATATCAGCCATGGAGAAAATGAAGTGGGACAGGCAGATTCAGCTGCAGAAAGAGAGCTGGAACATAAAGAAAGCTAGGAATGATGAAGATGGTCTGGAAGTGACCTTCTGCACCCCTCCAAAGCCCAAGCCCTGCTTTTCCACGTTTTCAGAGAGTGGCTGTGAAGGCAAGTGGGGCCAATGTGGGCATGCTTGATGCTGCATGCTCGATTCACAGCTTCTCTCCTCTGCCATGTCTCAATGCATGTACGTTCCAGGTTTATGTCTACAATTACTGACATAGCTCATGAGATCGCCATCATTGCTGTCATTCTGCCTCGGGTTAATTATCTACAGCCAGTTTTCAAAGGCTGTAGCTTCTTTTTATTTTTTTTCTAGGACTTTCGTGTTTTACTTTTCTTTTTGTAGTGGCTGATGTTTCCCATCTTCCTTTGAAGTCACACAGTTCTCCTAATGCCCACCCCTACTTTTTTTTTGGTCAGTTGTGGGGCTTGAACTCAGGGCCTGGACACTGTCCCTAAGCTGTTTTTTCTCAAGGCTAGCGCTCTACCACTTTGAGCCACAGCTTCACTTCTGGTTTTTCGAGTGGTCAATTGGAGTCTCCTGGCTTTGAAGTGTGATCCTTAGATCTCAGCACCTGAGTAGCTAGGATTACAGGCATGAACTACTGGTTCATGGCCCCACTTGCTTTCCTTTTGCAAGTAGTCCTTTTCCTTCCACTCAGCAAATAGCCTGTCTTGTGCTCCTTACTATGAATCAATGGTACCCAGGATGTGATGTTCCTCCAAGAACTTCCTTGCTGGAGCCATGAGGGAAGACGAGAGGACCAGCCTGACAAGTGGGACCCAGGAAGTTCTTCCAGTAAGAAAGGGTACCTCAGCTGACAACCAGCAGTAGTGTTTGCTACTGTCTAACCATTTCCAAATGCAAGTCATATCTTTAGTGCTTTTGCTTTTCCCATATTTGCTGTCTGGCAGAATTTACTCAGGACATAACTTCAGTTACCCCTCCCCCTGCTTTAGTTCATATCATTGAATCTGTGATGCTAGCCCTGGATCTCTCCCAAGTGTTTGCTCTAGGTGGCTGGGACCTGTTCTGTCCACCTGGTTTGTCTCAGCTCCTCTGCTTTAACACTTCATTTCTAGGCCACTAGTGTTCATTTCAATGTATCAATTGCTCATATAAACATATCTATAACATAAAGGTATTCATGGTAACCTCTAACTTAACATATCTATTTATCTAACACAGAAAAAGTAGGAAAGGGAAAGAAAGAGAGAGAGAGAGGAGAGAGAGAGAGAGCTGAGAAGGGAGGAGGGAGGAGGGGGAAGGGAAGGGAGATAAAGAAAAGAGAAAGGAAGAGAGGAGGAAAAGGGAAAGGAAAGGATGGGGAAAGGAGAGGAAGAAGAAGGAAAGGAAGAGGGAGAGGGAAAGGAGAGGAGAGGAGAGGAGAAGGGAGGGGAGAGGAGAGGAGAAAGCTTCTTTTCTCATCTTTCATCTACAAAGAAAGTCCAGATTCCCAGACTTCAGGTAGGCCTGAATGTTGGGTGTAACTGCTAAACCTAGTAGAACATTTATTTTTTCTATACACTTTGCCTCACTGTGAAGCTGACTTTGTTGGTTTTTTTTTAAAAAAATCTTTCATTTCTTTTCTGAACTTTATATTAAAGAAAAATTTAAACATATCTAAAAAGTGGGCAGAATAATCCAAGTCCCTCATCAACCTTTTTTTAAAAAAATATGAATATAAGAGGATGAAACTAGCTGCCTTCAGTTTTCATTTTCTTGATGCTGCATTGTAAAAATTCTTTCAAAATAACCTCTAGTGCTTTCATTTCCCGGTTTCTGATTCGCTGCGCGTTTCAGCGTTCTCATTTTTCTGTTTTCTTGATGGTGAAACCACTTCCTTCTTTTCCTAGGTTATGCTGTGTTACCAGTGGTCAGCCCTATGGCTGACACACCCTCTCCCTCCAGTGGAGGGAAGGCAGCCTGCAAGTGTGACTTGGAAGACTTTGTCATTTTAGGTAAGATTTGGGAACACATTGGAGGAGACCAGCTGCCTTCCATGTCCTTCTGCACATACCCTGACATGTGTCCTACATAACACTGAGTTAGAAGAATGGCTTTGAAAGAGATTTCTGCTGAAGCTAGATTATGTCCCTGATCTTGAAAAATAGAGTCATTCTTCTTGTTTTAAATATCTTCATCTCATTTGTGGAAATGAGTGGAAATGGGAATACCGATTATGATCGATCTACTATCTTTGTGGCCTCTCAATTATAGTCTGATGGAATTTTAGATGGAATCCCTCTTAGATCATTATCTGGAGTCTCTGTAGTGTTGGCAGTAGTTGGTTATCAGCTGGTAGGTTAGGGCAGCAGTTCAAAGGAATCTGAAGCCCAGACATGCTGAATAGCTGGTTCTTCCTGAGATGCAGGGGGCTCTTAATTTATGGTTTTATAAAATGGGTGATGGCTGGTTGCAACAGAAGACCTTGCTACCCTCTTTCATTTTCCCACAGGAATTGGGGAGTCTAATGATGTGACCAAAACCTGCAGATGCTCCTGCCCTTCTAAGAGGTACCTGGCTTCCACGTGTACCATGCCCAGACCCCTGGGTGCTTTCCTTGGAGGGTCTGAGAATGCCTGATACCTTATGCCTAGGGGATCAGTTCTAACAATGGAGATTGCTTCTTCAAACCAGTCAGTCATTTCTTGTATTAGCAGCCTCATTTGATTATAACCAAACTACCGGAGACAGCTATCCTATTAAGAAAAGTTCAGATCAGTTAGTTCAGTTTTGGAAGTTCCTTTGACTTAGTTCTTGTATGAACAGTGAATGGTGACACATCATGCAAAAGTATCAGAGAGAGAGAGAGAGAGAGAGAGAGAGGCAGAGACAGAGACAGAGACAGAGAAAGAGGCAGAGAGAGTAACAAGGAGCAGCTGGGGTCCCATCATCGTGTGTGTGTGTGTGTGTGTGTGTGTGTGCGTGTGTGCGTGTATGCGTGTATGCGTGTGTGTGTGTTGGTTATGGTATTAGTACTTGAACTTAGGACCTGGGATGCTATCTCTTAGCTTTTTCACTCAAGTCTCTTACCATTTGAGCCAAAGTTCTATTTCTAAATTTATGCTAGTTAATTGGAAATGGACTCTCACAAACTTTCTTGCTAAGGCTGGCTTTGAACCACAGTCCACAGGTCTCAGCCTCCTGAATATCTAGGATTACAGATGTGAATCACCAGTGCCTCCATCTTTGGCTCCAACATCCTTTATGAGCATACTCCTAATAGCCCAAGGACCTCCCTCTAGGCTCGACCTCCCTCTAGGCTTGACCTCCCAAAAGATCCAGCCACATCATTGGGGAGCCAAGCCCTTGATCTATGAACCTGTAAGAAACACTATCCATATTCAAACCATAGCACTTCAAGTTTACTGTCTTTTAGAGTGTATCAAAGGTTTTTGTATGCATTCTCATTTGGTACTTGTGGACAGGTTACGCAAGTCTGTGTGTGCTGTGTATTTTAAACTTTATTTTAGTTTTTAAATATTTAAACATTTTATTGAGGGTTCAAGGTCAAGTTAGTTCATAGGTTAAGCTGAGTTAGAATAAATGGTGTGAGTAAATCTGGAGCATGAGTCTCTAAGGGTAGATTTTTCCATCCCAGGTCTATATCTTATATGCATGTTATTAAGAGGCAGAAGGGTACAGAGTTAGGGGTTTCTCAGCCAGACCATCTGTGTTTGAATACCGATTCTACCAGTTAATTCTGTTAAACTTGATTTTATTGACATAAGCTAAAGCTTATAAAAGATGTTCCTCAGGTCACAATGCTATTGAACAGCAAAAGCAGGACTTGAATTCAGATCTTCAGGCCTTTCATATCATACCTTCAAATCTGAGTACCCTCAATAAATGAAAGATCCCTGTGTTCCAAGAATGGATGTTGTCTTAAATTGCTCAGCCTCTAGTGGATGAATGCTCTCATACAACACCCACCTCAGGTTTGAGCGGTGCAGGAAAGTTGTGACCCTTAGGAAGGTTTGGAAGATATTCCTCATGCCCATGGTTTTCCAGTCTTTGCATCTCCTGTGTTTCAGTGCTACTTACCAGCCATCCTTCAATTCTGCTGAGCTATTAGCCACAGAGTTGTTCCGAGTATTCCGGAAGAACTGGACCTTGTCTGTAGCTAGTTCTCAGGTGCCTGTTTTCCTGACGACAGCTGATTCAATAGTAAGTATTCACATCAAGGGACAGTTCTTAAATTCTTATTGGTGAATTGACCAGTAAGGATGGGTACATTTACAGGTGAAATGGCCAGATGAGGTCACTTGTTTATGATTCCTTGAGTGGTCTCTGGGTGTTGGGAAGACTCAAAATGAACTATGAACTGTTTTAAACAATTATTAGACACCAAGGACTGCGTTTACTCATTTTCAGAAGTAACTCTCCTATCTTTATTAGTTGGGCTCAGACCTCAACAGTGCCTGTCAGTGGAGAAGCAGAGTGGATAACAAGTATTTGTATGTTGGTTTGTCTGTCTCTCTCTCTCTGTCTCTATCTCTGCATGTCTCTGTTTCTGGCGCTCACTGTCTCTGTGCTTCTTGCTGTTTTTGTCTTTCTCTCTGTCTCCTTCTGTCTCTGTTTCTGTTTTTCTGTGTATATATGAGGGTCTGTGCATGTGCGTATGTATGTGTTATCTTCATGGAATTAAAGCTATAACTGTGGCCAAATAGTGAAGGATATGGTGCTACTTTGTGGAATGGGACTTCTAGATGACGGGAGGAAAGCATAGGGGTTCAGAGTAGAGCCACTAAATATGCCTGGCACAACAACAGGGATCTGATTGGCCACTTCTGGCTGGCTGTTGATTTAGGGGTGGGACCTCTTGTTCCTGAGGCATTCCATCCAGGTCAAAATGACCTATTTTAGTAAGTTCCAGGACTGGAAAAAAAAAAAGGACTAAAAATACTAAGAAAAGTGATCTCAGCTGGGTGGTGGAGGTCTTCCCTAATCAGCTAAAAGCATTCTAGTGTCTCATGGTAAATGCTGATGTTCTTTTTTTTTTTTAAATAAACACTTGAAATGTTGAAATAAGCTTGCTTAGGTTGTCCCTAAATCCTCTCTATGTTTTATGCAGGTTGTGGATGAAGAACAAATACAGAACAATTTTGAATCTAGTGTAGAGTCAATACAAGAAGTGAAATCTAAGCCTAGGATCAGAGGGCCTGAGGACTGGTCCCCACCTAGGTTTCAAATCATATTTAATGTTCATCCACCTCTCAAGTAAGTATGGGGGCTGCCTGACCCCCAGTTCACTCCAAACAGGTTGTGATGGATCCCACCAGATTCTATATGAAAGTATGCAGAGGAAATAGCAATAAACAGGAATACACAGGGAATTTTGTTTTAGAAAAGGAAAGTGGACTGTTGCTTTTTGGTTTGGTTTTCTTGGAGCCTTGTTGTGGGCATTTGGGTTTCTGACAGCATTGACAAGTTGACAGTGTGGCTTATATATCTGGAATTATGCATATCACGTGACAACTGAAAATTTGTGTGTGTGTGTGTGTGTGTGCGTGCGCCAGTAGTGAAGCCTCAGATTTCAGCCTCATGGATAATTGTATTATAGGTGTGAGCCACTGGCACCTGGCCAAAACCAAAAATAAGTTATTTTTAAAAAGAAAAATTAAATCTTGAGAGAGACATGATGGTTAAGAAATAGAAGTATAAATAAAAATATGTTTAATACTGAGAAGCAACAAAATCAGAAAGCTTATCAAACAACCAAAATGATGTGAAAAGCAAATAAACGTATGTTTTATATATAACACATGTAAAATGCACAGGATATGTTATATATACCATATATCTTAAACAAATGTTATATATGGGATATATATGTGTGTGTGTGTGTATATATATATATATATATATATATATATGAGATATAAGATACAGATAGATGTATGTTGAGACCATATCTTCTTCCATATTTTCTTTTGGGAGGATTCTGAGGTCTCTGGGGTTGCTTGGGGAAGATTCACTCTCTAAGCATGGTCTTTTTCTTATCTTGGCCATTTTTGCTGACCTTGAACTACAATCAAGCTCTACCTCTTTGTCTATATTTCTGGGTCACAGGTGAAATCATGTCATAAGAGTAAAGTAGAAAAACACTTCCACAGGTGTTTTCTCCTTGGCAGAAATGGTTGAGAACTTCGTTTTACATTAGCTTCTGTTTACTTAAAACTTTTTGGATCTACTTAGAACTTTCCATGTGCTTCATCTTTTAGTGTCTGGTCTCTTGAACTGGATTCTAATACAGTGTGTTTCTAATCCTATTTGGGAATGTTCCTGGCTCCTGGGCAGGGACAGTCACAAGCCCCTCAGAGCTCCCTTTGGGGAGAAGTTATTTGTGTTTTCAGTGTGCTTTTTCAGAAGAATCTGAACTATCTCACTGTATGGTAGTGCTTGATAGAAGCTGGGTATGGTAGTACATGCCTGTAATCTCAGCTCAGGAGAGGCTGAGGCAAGAGAATTATAAATTACTGACCAGCCTGGGCTATAAACTAAGACTGTCTTCAAACAAACAAACAAACAATTGAGGGGGGAAGGACCTACAGATTTCAATTAGAAAACCATATTGAAAAAAATATAAAATTTCCAAATTAAAAATGATAAAATGTGCCAGGTACTTTCAGCCCCTGCCTGTTATCCTAGCTACTCAGAGGCTGAGGTCTGAGGATCACAGTTCAAAGCCAGCCCAGCAGGAAAGTCTGTGAGATTCTTAGATCAAATTAACCACCAAAAAGACAGAAATGGAGCTGTGGTTCAAGTGGTAGAGTACCACACGTGAACAAACTAAGGGACAGTTCTCAGGCCCTGAGTTCAAGCCCCAGTACTGGAACACAAAAAAGATTAAATGAAGGCTTCAAGTCATGAAACACACTGTCATGTCACTCAGTTTTCCAGTCAGTGACAAATGGTCCATTGGTTACTTCTGCAATGTAATGATTACTGTTTTCTGTCCTCAGGAGGGAGCTGGTGATTGTGGCGCAGAACTTTGTCTGTGCAGGCTGTGGAACACCTGTGGAGCCTAGTAAGTATGGATCCTGGTTGCTGGCTTGTGCTGGCTTGTGGCACCATGACTGAGCAAAGAATATCAATGTTGGGCAGCTCATTGCTTCTGAGGGAGATGCCATTCTGAAAGCTTTATTTCCATGAAGTTCTTCTCCCTCCTTCCCTCCCTCCCTCCCTCCCTCCCTTCCTTCCTTCCTTCCTTCCTTCCTTCCTTCCTTCCTTCCTTCCTTCTTTCTTTCTTTCCTTCCTTCCTTCCTGCTAGGTAGTCCAGGCTGTCCCCTAATTCATGACCTGCCTGCCTCAGCCTCCAAAGTGTTGAGATTATCATGTTCTTCCAAGAAAACTCTTATATTTTATTGATTTATCTTTTTTTTTCTAGTCTGTCATGGGTCTTGAACTCTTGGCCTGGGCGTTGTCCCTGAGCTCTTTAGCTCAAGGCAAGCACTCTACCACTTGAGCCACAGTGCCACTTCCAGTTTTCTGGTGGTTAATTGGAGAGAAGAGTCTCACAGACTGGCTCTGAATCTCAGTCCTCAGATCTCAGCCTTCTGAGTGGCTCCTGAGTAGTTAGTATTACAGGTGTGAGCCACCAGCACCCAGCCTTGATTTATCTTTATCTGCCTTCACTGCTAGATAATAGTCCCACAGGAGTAGATACATTTTCAAGTTTCATTGCTTTGTCCCTAGCAAAGAAGAAGTATCTAACTGACCCATACTCAGTCTTCAAAAGATATTTGCTATGTGAGTGACTTGTCAGGGATTCTCTGAGAGTTTGAGGATTTGGCCTGAGGGCTTATTTCTGAGATGAAGAAGCCTAGAAAATCAGGCTTCTCCAGTGAGACATTCAAACTTCCCTTGCAAGACCTAGACTTCCTTGTCCTGTGAGGAGTTCTATGTCAGATTACAATCCAAAAGCAGAAACCTGTGCTTTCTTTATCTGCTTGGATGGTAATGCTTGTAACCATGGACTGGTTATGACTGGTTTTCTTTCAGTCACTCATTTCCCAGTTAGTCTAGCAAGGCTGCATCTGTGGGCAAACCACTCTATCCTTGGTAGCTGCATATCAGTCACCCCAGGGAGCTGTGTCATACAGCACAGCTCTGGAATATTCTGTCCTCAGAGAGAGCTCCACTACAGCCCAGTTCTAGGAGTTCCTCTCTCCCCAATTTATCCATGTCATCCACTTTACAAAGTAAGCACCATCATCACTTACAACAGGCTCTCTCCTCTTTAATATTGTAGGCTTTGGGCTGGCTTCAAACTGCAATCCTCAGATTGCAGCCTCCTCTGGGTAGCTTGGATTACAGGTGTGAGGCACCACGCCCAATCTATACTTGTACTTTGATGATCATGAAAGTTGCCGCTACATGATCATCCAAATGGTGATTGTATATATGTGCTGTCTTGAGGACCTTCCATTCTATCTGGAAGAAGTATATTCCAGAAAGAACTACTGCACATGAAAGACTGAAGTGTACCCTAGATGTTCCCTTAGCACCTCTTCACTACACTTTGCCTGTGCAGGAGCCTCTGAATTTGTGTCAGTCTGTGACAGAGCAGAGAATCTCAGGGATTGTGCATTTCCTTGACCGCAGGGAGCCCGAGTGATTATCATACCGCACTTGTTTTGCTGCTTTCCATTTATTTCCTGTTCCTACCCTTTGCTCAGTTACCCCCCTTCCCCCCTTAATTATCAAGCAATTCTTTTGGATGCTACTTCCTAACATTATATGTGTCCTGCTTACAAATCCACAAAGCACCCTACCTATGTGTGGTGTCACTAAGTCCAGTTCTGAGGTGAGTTTCAGTGGCTTTAGCACAGTTGGGCTGTAGACAGTCTGCCCTGCCTGGGTGTTCCAGCTACTCAGAGGGGAGATCTATACTCCCCACCAGATTTCTAGATCCTAAGTGGAAAGTTCTTTATGGTCCCCTGCAGTTTTCCATGTCCATCTTCTCAACCCAGTGGTATTTAGGAAGATCTTTGTTTTTTGACATCTCTTCCACCATAGCAACGTTCACGAATGGTGACCATTTAAGTCCCCAAGTTCCTTCGAAAGCCTTTCCAGCTGTGGTGAGGTCCTGTACATAATCGTCTTGAGTCTGAGCTTTCCCAGGGATCAGAGGTGGAGGAGAACCAGCCTCAGGTGCGCGTGGGGCGCTGACCTTCTTCCCTCTGTGCCTGGCAGAATTTGTTAAGCGGCTCCGGTACTGTGAGTACCTGGGCAAGTACTTCTGTGCATGCTGCCACTCCTCCGCTGAGTCCTGCATCCCAGCGCGCATCCTGACCATGTGGGACTTCAGGAAGTACTACGTCAGCGATTTCTCCAAACGCCTGCTCGATAGCATATGGCACCAGCCCATTTTTAACTTGATGAGCACCAGCCACAGTCTGTATGCGAAAGCCAAGGAACTGGACAGGGTGAAGGTGGGCAGGTACCTCCGCAGAGCACGCAGGGGGTCCAGGGAGCAGAGTGTCTGGTGGTGGGACATGCATGTCATACTCTTGTTATTCTAGTTTTGAGATGTTTGCAGACAGGCTGGGCGCAGATGAACCACTATGTGACTAAAGCTTTATCTAGGGATGGGGGGAAGGGGGGACAGGGGACACTTCACTTGAATGAACTCCTCCGAGGATCCCAAACTGAGTTTTAAATTTATATATGTTCCAGCTGGAACTAAGGGCTTTGTGCTGTCCCTGAGCTTTTTGGTTCAAGGCTGGCACTCTTACCACTTGAGTCACATCTTCACTCCTGGCTCTTTTGGTAGTTAATTGGAGATAAGAGTCTCATACTCTGGGCTGGTGGTTCATGCCTGTAATCCTAGCTACTCAGGAGGCTGAGATCTGAGGATCACAGTTCAAAGCCAGCCTGGGCAGGAAAAGCTGTGAAACTCTTATCTCCAGTAAACCACTCAGAAAACTGGAAGTGGTAGAGTGCTAGCCTTGAGCTGAAGAGCTGAAGGACAGCACCCAGGCCCAGAGTTCAAGCCCCATGACAAAAATAAAAAGAGTCTCATGGATGTTCTAACTGCCATCCTCAGACCTCAGCCTCCTGAGTAACTAGAATTATAGGGGTGAGCCACCAGTACCCAGCCTACTTTGTTTTTTCTTGAAGAAGGCCCCCAAAGGATTCACAAACCCTGGGCCCAGCCCGGATGTCAACTTACAAACTCCCACCCTAGAAGCTGTTTGCTTTGAAAACAACAAAAAAGTTTTCTGTGTGTATGTATGTGCCAGTACTGAGGATGGAACTCGGGGACTGAATACTGTCCCTTGGCTTTTTCTCAAGGCTGAAACTCTACCACTTGAGCCATACCTCCACTTTGGGCTTTTGGTGGTTAATTGGAAATAAGAGTCTGATAGATTTTACTGCCCAGGCTGGCTTTGAACATCAGTCCTCAGGTGTCAGCCCCCTCAGTAGCTAGGATTAGCCACCGGCACCAGACTTAATTTTATTTTTTTAATATAGGGGTAGCATTGCAAGGTGAGAGATAATTCCTGCCTTTAATTGCCCATTGCCATGTTCTTTATCACATTTCCTTCCCCTCCCTGTTTGTCTTCTCATGTTAGGACATCCAGGAGCAGCTGTTTCACGTCAAGAAGCTGTTGAAGAGTTGCAGGTTTGCTGACAGGTACAGTGGTCACCTTTCCCCTCCAATCTGTTCAACCTCCCAGCTCCGTCATCTTGATCCTCCTCGGTCTGCCTCTTTGCACAGAAATGGCCAACTCCCTGCTCTCTTTGAGGATGCAAATTTCTTCTTTCAACTCACTAAACCTGCTAAATCTCCAGGGGGAGAATTTAACTTGTTCGAAAGAATGAGGTGGGAAGGGAATATCGCTAATGATGGAGCATCAGCCTTGGCTCTGGGTTCCATCCCAAAACTCAAAAAACAAACAAACAACAACAAAAGCCAAAATAGGACAAGAATGAAAAGGAATTGTAGCCTGTGTGCTTTTAAAAAATGAACAATAATACTAATAAATTGTGATAAATCACAGAACATAACTGTTAGGTTTTTTAAAAAGAGGTAGCCGAGTAAGAATAGCACCATGCACGTCGTATTCAGGTAAGGAGTAGGTTTATTCAGTAGACCTGCTGGGACCAGGCAAGGTTGGCACTCCATGTAGCTGGGAAAGGCCTGGAAAAGAGAGAGAGCTGGGAAAGAGAGAGGAAAGAGCTAGAAAAGAGCAGAGAGAGTCTGGGCCTGGGGTAGGCCTTATGTAGGGTATGGGCGGAGAAAGGTGTGGCCACATCAAATTCAGATGTGACCTCAGCAGATGCAGATGTGACCTCTTCCAGGTGTGCCAGTTGCCTAGGTAACACAGGTACTGCGTGGAGACTTTGCTGCGAGGAGGGTGGAGTCTGCTAGCCATCCAGGAGTGGACCTTACAATAACATGACCATCTCAGTCTTTTATGTGTACGCTTCAGTAACATTAAGTACATTCCCATTGTCATGTTTCTGTCTCCACCATCCATCTTGGGAACTCTATCTTGCAAAACTGAAACTCTGTATCTATTCAACACTTACTGCCCATTCCCTCCTTCCCATAGGCCCTTGAAATTGACCTTTCTATTTTGCTTTTCTAAGAAGTTGACTATTGTCAGGTGCTGGTGACCACTCCTGTTAAACTAGCTACTCAGGAGTTTGAGATTTGAGGATCATGGTTCGGAGCCAGCCCAGGCAGGAAAGTATGTGAGACTTTTTAATCTCCAATTAACCAGTAAAAGGCTGGAAGTGGAGTTATGGCTCAAGTGGTAGAGTGCTAGCCTTGAGTGAAAAAAAAAAACTAAGGGATAGCACCCAAGTCTTGAATGCAAGCTCCAGTACTGGCATAAAAAAAACACACACATTTAATAAACATTAAAATAAGGCTTGCACTTGCCTCTAACTCTAGCACTTATGAGTCTGAGGCATGAGACTAGGTAGTGATTTTGAAGGTGAGCTTGCATGGAATTTTAACTTTTTCTTGGTTCCCAAACAAACTTGCCATATGTTAAGTGGAGAACACGGTCCAATGTTATTCTCAGGGTTAGGCTTTTAAAAGTGGACTTCACATCATTAATGTTAGTGGCAGAACCTCCAGGAGAGCCCTTCCCTGTCCTGCGTGTGATGTGTGGGTGGCTTTCTGAACTCTCTGCTTCCTTTCTGGCAGTGTGTTGAAGGCCTTTGAACAGTTGCCTGCACACTTAACTGATGAACTCCACCTGTTCTCCATGGACGACCTGCTCAGGACCAAGAAAGGATTGCTGGCGCCTTTGCTCAAGGACCTTCTGAAAGCTTCTCTCACGCATGTGGCAGGCTGTGAGGTGAGGGCTCTCCTAGAGTAGGCGTGGCCTTCTGCTAGGACCTGATCCCGTTCACCTCTCTCAGAAACCCCGGTGGAGCCAGGGACCAGAGACTCATGCTTCATTGTAGCTACTCAAAGAGCTGAGGTCTGAGGATCCAGGTTCAGAAAAATCCCTGAGATCCTTCTCTCCAATTAATCAGCAACAAAGTGGAAATGGAGCTGTGGCTCAAGTGGTAGACTGCCAGTCTTGAGTGAAAAAGCTAAGAGACAGTGTCTCAGGCCCTGAGCGCAAGCCCTTGAACTGGCATGCACCCAACAAGAAACCCTGACAGCTGAGTAGAGTCAAGTGCAAACACCTGGAGCAGGTCCTGGCAGAAAGCCAACACTTTGCAGGTGAGAAAACTGAGGCTCATAGTTGTGATTAGCAGATTCAGATCATCCTGCTAGGAACTGGCAGGGCTGGGTTACCAACTGAAGCACCCTGCCTTTTTAGTCTTTTTAGGCTGTCCCTTCTTTCAGGCTATTCTCCCTTGAAGTAAACCATGGAAGGTCATACAGCCATCAGAAGTGACATTCCATCATTTAATTAATGAAGTAGTTTTATTTTAATTTTTTGAAATTTTATCTTGCTGTGTTGCCCCAGTAGTCTCCAATATAGAATCCTTCTGCTTCAGCTTCTAAATACCTGGGATTACGAGCATATATCATCACCCTCAGCTTGACATTCCATCATTTAAGAATACAGCTATTTAGAAAAGGTGGAGGTTAAAAAAAAAAAAGAACTGAAGGTAGGATTAGCCAATCCTGGAACCATTAACTAGAGGCTGTATCTTAAAAACAAACTAAAAATGCAAAAGGACTGGGGCTTTCAAAAGCTCAAGTGGTCGAGTACTTACCTAGCAAGCATAAGGTACAAGAAAGGAAGGATGGAAGGAAAGATAGAAGGAAGAAAGAAAGATTACTTATAAAGTTCTGGTTTCTCCATGAAGATGTGCATTGCTGCTCAGTAACCTTCACATGCCTTCTTTTGTAGCTGTGCCAGGGAAAGGGCTTCATCTGTGAATTTTGCCAGAGTGCGACTGTCATTTTCCCATTTCAGACCACAACCTGTAGAAGATGCTCAGGTATTTTAATGACATAAGCCTAATAAAGCTTCCTTTAATTACAAAGTTAATTTAAATTTAATAGCTTCATCCTAAAATTAGCTTAAAGTAAATATTTGTTTAATAACTTAAGCCCCAGACAATTAAAGTACTTAGTGCTGGTGTATTCCTAGACAGTTTTGATGTGGCTGGGACAGGGGTAATGGCTGATGTGGGGAGGGGAGGTGCCTGCTTCTGTTTTGTGATTGGATCACCATCACAGCCAACACGAAGGTGTTGGATCTGGCTGCTTTTGTGCTGCAGCTGACAGAGTTCATACAGGGACCAAAAGGCTTAAAATATTGACTTTGGCTCTTTACAAAAAATGATTGTGGGTGGGCACTTGTGGCTCCTGCCTATAATCCTAGCTACTCTGAGATCTGGGTATTGTGATTCAAAGCCAGAAGGAAAGTCCATGAGACTCTTATCTCCAGTTCACCACCAGAAAACTGGAAGTGGTGCTATGGCTCAAAGTGGTTGAGTGCTAGCCTTGAGTAATAAAACCCAGGGACAGCACGGAGGCTCTGAGTTCAAACCTCACAACCAACAAGCAAAAAACAAAAAAAAAAGTTGTGCTAGGGGGAATTGTGAATTGTGTGCTCTCTATTTCTTGTTCTCTCTCTCTCTCTCTCTCTCTGGTAGTATTGGAAAATGAACCCAGGGTCTCCAGATTGGGTGGGGGGAGAAGTTCAACTGGGGTATGGTACCAGTGACACCGCAACCTATCTCATGGAGCCTCTGAGTCTGGGATGGCCTTTTATCAGTGCCCAGCCAGTTCTTCAAACTCTACGGTGATTAGTCACTGGATGAAGTCAGGTTTCAGGAAGGGAACATGACCTTGGATGCGACAGCTCTTTATTTAGGGCCATTTCCAGGAGCTTTGGTGCTGGGACAGATCTGTAGGCTTCATGTTGTCTGCTACATCAGTCTGAGCATCATGACACCATGAGTTGCCGGTAATTTAATAATGAAGTGTTAAGCTAGCTGATTGCTTGTTATAAGACTTGGGTTCTGAGATGAGATTCTCTATCTCCAAGGGTGGGAGTGAGCATTCATTTGTGCGTGAGAAAACAAAGATGGCCCCTCTGCTGATGACTGGTCTTGCTTGCTTGCAGCCTGCAGAGCTTGTTTTCATAAGCAGTGCTTCCGGTCTTCTGATTGTCCTCGGTGTACCAGGATCACAACTCGGAGAAAACTTCTGGAAAGTTTGTCCTCTGCAGCAACATGATGTCCCTAAGTGTTGTAGAAAAGACTGTGAACACACGTTAGGCAAGGAACCATTTGTGTCTACTAGTAATATAATTATTTTAGGTATTAAGCCTTGTATGTTAAGAAAAATATGCCCAAACTTCTATTTGTTGTATATATTTAATATTTTAAAAGAATGCAGATTGTTATTAAGGGATTTTGTTTACAAATGTTGAACTTTTTGCTGCTAGTTATTTTTCTTTTTTATACAATTTGTTTGATAATTCTTAAATTGTATTGGGATAGTTGCATTTGCACACTCTTAGAACTTGTTTCTTTTTTTAAAAAAAGAATTGTAACTGACAAAATGAATTATTCAGTTTCTCTGGCTTTACAGCTTGTATATAAAACTGATAGCTGTTTTTAATGAACAAAACATAACTGAAAAATGTGTTGGCTTAGTCTTTTCCTTCAAGAGTCAGACTTCTATTATAGGTGATTTTATGACTGTGTTGGTCATACATATATTGTTAACTGCATGGTTGCAGAACTAATACAGGTTATTTCTGCAATTGCTTTTGTTTGAAGAAGAGCTAACTTACCTTAGTATGCTGGGAGGTTCGGTTCAAGTGTAATATAAGATTGTTGCCTCTAGAGGGCAGTGTTTCGGACACACACACACACACACACACACACACACACACACACACACACACACACACACACACACACACACACAGCCAATGCCATAGTCCACACTAGTCCATGCTAAATGAAGAAGAGAACCTAATCCCAGCCTTTAGGATCTTGTCTCACAGATATAAAGAACAGGACATAAGGAATTTGAAGACTTAAATAAGCTAGAATAAAATGCTCTTTTTCTTTCTTTTTCTTAGACAGGGCCTCACTAAGTAGCCATCCTGTGCTTGACCTGGTGATTCTCCTACTTCAGCTTTGTATGCTGAGATTACAGGTGTGGGCCTAACAAGAAAATACTCCTAACAGTGTGACCCTAGTTGTCATACTAAAACCATAAACATTAGTCAATAAGCTTCTGTGAATCATGAAATTGGAGCTTGGTGAATTTCTTTTTCATGACACTTCTTATATTGCTTTCCTGGAAAATGAAAGCCTATTTTTTCCCCTTCTGCCACCTATATACTTTCTTCTACTTGAGACAGGGATAGAGAGGGAAGGAGAGACACAGACAGAGAGATTCAGTGAGGTAACATGGAGCACATTGGAAGAAGCGAGTGTCATTTATCAGTCTGGTGTCTTTCTATTCATCCATCATTGTTTTCTCACAGTGACACCTCTGTCTGTGCTGTGGTCACATTTAGTATTCAAGCCAGGCCTCTTTTAGGTACAAATTGAGGCACATAGGACAAATAATACTGAGATTGAAACAGTTTCATTCTTTGCCATAGCTCAGCTACCCTCTAACCTCATAGGAATCAAGGGTTCTTGTCTGTTTCTCTCTCAGTCTCTTTCTGTGTCTTTCTGTCTGTCTGTCTGTCTGTCTCTCTCTCTCTCACACACACACACACACACACATGAGAGGAAGGAATGGGAAAGGACTAGGGTACAACTAAGGCACTTCCTTGCCTGCCTGTGCTTCTGGACATGCTCAGAGTAGGCTTAGTCTAGACACGTGGTACTGAAGGATGATGATACCTAGAATGAAATGGAGACTGGCTCCCCAAGCTGCTACAAGATCCATTTCCCAATAAGGAAACAGATTTAGAGAAGAGAAATGTCTTCTGGGCTTCCCACGGGTACTGTGAGGTGCAGCACAAACTCTGTCCACCCTTGGAAGCAGACTTGGAGATGATAACCTGAGCAATGCCTGCTCTGGGGCCAGGGTGTTTTCTAAATGTTCTCCTGTGCTGAGTTGATGGACCTGGTGCGGCTCAAGCATTGCCTGAAGACTCTGGACTCAGGATCAGTGTAATGCTTCTGTGTGTGTGTGTGTGAGAGAGAGAGAGAGAGACAGACAGACAGACAGACAGACAGACAGACAGACAGAGACAGAAAGAGAGAGAAAGAGATGTGTCTATGTGAATGACATAATTGATATTTAGGAAAAAATGCATGGTGGTTGTCAGAAAGTGATGCTTCTGGTGTATTGGGGGGGATGTATTGGGGAGATGAGATCATTTAAATAACCGCTCTACAGTGTTTCCAGATGCTGCTTCCTGCCCAGCCTGGTAATGAAGGCTCCTTCCCAGTAAGTGGCCTGTGAAGACACAGAAGTGCCCCTCATCAACGCCCTGCAGGGAAGGGACTAATCCTCACCTTTATGGCTCTTTAAAGGGATTTGTTCTATGGGTGGTCTTTCCACTGGACTCTTCTCTCCCTGGGCTGCTGGAAGGGAGAGGAATATTAGTGTTTTCCCTAGAGCATGGCCTGCCATGAAGCATCTAGTCCCAGCGTGCTGAGATCTTCCATGATGAATTTCCTGCCTCTACACTCCTCTCCGTCCGCGAGGTGTCATTCATGCAGAGTCTTACACCATCTGAGAGCAGATGTGGTGGGAAGTGAGCCAAATCCTGTTTCAAAGACAGCCTGGCATGTTGGCCTGGTGAGAATTACTTGCAGGGACTTCAAAATGAATCTGGATCTTGCTGCTTCCTCATTGTGTGCCCCTAGGCGTGTTTCTACCACGATCTGATTGTGTCTTTGTGTCTTTGTGCCACTCAGAAAAAGAACTTGTTTAATTCCTGGTGAAGTGAAAAAAAAATACATTTAAAAAGGGATTTCCCTTTTCAAACCAGTTGAGGATTTACCTACTTAAAGGCAGAGGTCTTTAAATTTTAAGAAAGTATGCAGCTGAGTAATGCTCACAAACAAAGCAGTGCAGCCCTCTAGCCATTTTCCTTTAACAAAGACCTTGAGAAACCTCAAGACGGAGCCCCTTGTGGAGTATGGGTGGTTGACTTTACACAGCCACACAGGCTTAGGCCTGGGGGCAGGAACTGAAGTACCAACCCCCTGTGGACATGAAGCCTTCAGGGAGAACAGGAAGCCTGGTGCAGGGGGCGGAATGGACTCCTTAGATCATCAACCCTGCTGTTCAGAGTTCTGCACCAGCAAACCAGCCAGCCTCCCCCAGAGCTTCCTTATTGCCAGCCGAGGTATGGGCAGAAAAGTTTCGAATTGTTCATTAGGAAAGCTCGTCTTCTATCACTACTGCTGTTCCTTTGTGCTGGTCCAACATTTTATTCAGGGAATAGGTGGGATTGGGAGAGATAGGAGGCTATGAGCAAAAGGGTAATGTAGGTGAAGATGCATGATAGTCACAAATGGATGTAACGAATTGAACATCCATTGTACAACTACTGAAGGATAATTTAAAAAAAAGTTTTAAAAGGTGAAGAGGAGGAACAAGAGGAAGGAGAAAGAGGAGGAGAAGGAGGAGGAGGCAGAGAAGGAAGAGGAAGAGGAGGAGGAAGAAGAGCTAATGAAGTATGTAAGCCTCCATGGCTCCCATCTGTAATCTGAGGTACTCAGGAAGTTACTATCTGAGGATCATGGTTCAAATCCAGCCCCTGGGCATGAAAGCCTAAGAGACTCTTATCTCTAGTGAACTGCCAAAAAGCCGGAAGTAGCATTGTGGCTTATGTAATAGAGCACTAACTTTGAGCAAAAAGGCAAAAGGGGACAATGCCTAGACCCTGAGCTGAAGTTCCAGTATTGGCACACAAACATGCACAAAAGTAACAAAGCCATTTAGTAGGTCATTTATTGAGTAAGAACTCTTGCTAGACCCACAAAGCTGCCTTTGGGAAGGGCTTGACTGTGAACCACCCGGATGTGAACCCAGGTGTGAACTCTTTCCCCAGTGGCCTGCGCATTGTATGTCCCCAGGAGGGGAATATAGGGGCATACCACACTTTTTTTTTCCTTGTTGGTCATGGGGCTTGAACTCTGGGTCTGGGCGCTGTCCCTGAGCTCTTCAGCTTAAGGCTAGTGCTCTACCACTTGAGCCACAGCACCACTTCCGGTTTTCTGGTGGTTAATTGGAGATGAGAGTCTCATGGACTTTCCTGCCTGGGCTGGCTTTGAACTACAATCCTCAGATCTCAGACCCCTGAATAGCTAGGATTATGGGTGCGAGCCACGGGCTCCTGACCATCCCACATTTATGAAGTCCCTGGAGAACAACTTCTCTGCTAATACCCAACAGAAAAAGATCTGTTGGTAGTAAGGAATCCTTATTACAAGTTAACCAATAGGATAGTGACTTGTATTAACTATGGTTCTGTAAGAAACCCAGGGAAGATGTGATTCTCATTTGTAGAGTTCACCAACATAAAGCCCCAATACAGAGTTTTCCTAAATGATTTTTTTACCTGCCTGCCTTGTGGTCTTTATCCTGGGGAGACTGGCTGAGCTTGTAGCATAAACATCAGTAGAGTTCCAGGTGCTCTTAGCCCCAGACCCTCCTTAGCAGAACTCGAGAGAAAGCAGCTAAAGAGTTCTGCTGAGGAGATCCACAGCATGGCTGGAGCAGAAACTCTGGAGAGCTATGACTGAAAAGCTGAGAGGCTGTGAAGAGCTGAAGGGGGTTGCTGTAAGTGCCAGCCTCTGGAAGATTTCGGAGAGCTGGGAAGGGTCAGGGGCTAAGGGTCATGACACAGGAAGCGTGGAGATATAACACAGGTTTTCTGGATGAGGAACCACAGATGTTCAAAGCCCAGAGCAGTATGCTTGCCTTGACCTGTAGAGCTGTGAACCTCTGGTCTTTTAAGCCTAGAGCCATCTGCTGCTAATTCTCCGGGCCTGGAACTATAAACATCGGTCTTTGTAAGCCCAGCCTATAATGGCACTCAAAAGCTCAGAGTGGTGATGCGGAGTTACTCCTTGCCTACATACAACTTCCATTCACATGCAGTGAAGGGACCCTCAGCCAGTTTTTGATAACATTTGAAAATGAATACCCCATCTTCATCAGTAACTATGTATTATTATTTATCTAGTGCAGTTTCAAATAGAAGTAATAGTAATTTATTTTATATATCAACTTTAAATTTTTTCAGACCGCTTTGCAGAGCACAGATGACTCATGGCTGTCCTCCTAGCTACTTGGGAGGATGAAAACTGAGGATCCTAGTTTGAAACCAGCCCGAGC